CAAAACGAAAAAGTATGTTATTGCGTTCAACTACGAATATATTTCATATCCATTTTAGGTAGTGAGAACACTTTAACAAAATTAAATCTACAAATCACAGTTCATATTTTGGTCACCCAACTCCTATTATTTAAATTTTTTTAAATAAGTGACAATTCTGTTAAACTAATTGTCAATATATATTTTAGTTATTGATATTAAATATACATTAAAATTTTTGTGTAGACTCGATAAATAATAGCATTTTTGTTTTTATTGTGTCCACATTTAAAAAAAATAAATTTTAATCAAACTACATGATACTAATTTAATTACGAGTATTAAAACTAAAGTCCTGAAAATTTCGGTGAAGATGAGGACAGAGCATCTGCCTTCCACGCGAAAAGCCCGGGATCGAATCTAGGCCGAGGACTAATTAATTTTTCATGTTAATTTTATTTTATAAATTAGTCAACTTCGTAAATTATTTTAAAATTAGTTATTTTGTCTAAATAACCTAAAATAATTTTTTAAATTTGTAGATTTTCGTTAGTGGGTCGTAGAAAAAATATACTGACCATATCGAGTGGATTGTTCATATCACAATCAGACGATTGAGTACTCCGCATACGACGTCGTGCTCAAACTTCGTCTTTGTGTGATATTGCTATCATATCCACCCTTGTTGAACAAACTATAATTTATTTGTTTTCTTGGTTTAAACCAAAACTTAAGTTTTACATCAGAAATAGGAACTAAATTAATTTACTTTTCAAGTTTTCTTATAAAAATCGATATTACTTTCTCCAAGTACAAATTTAGTACCTACCTAAAATAAGTACTAATTATGTAATATCGTGTAATATTGTAATTCAAATTTCACATTACTATAAAGTTTCAAAATTCCCTACTTCGGTATGGTCAGATAAAAATTGAATATATTATATTAATAAAAACTGTCAAAGTATTACTTCTACAAATCTGTATTTCAATTAATAAGAATACATCTAAATATAACCAATATTGTTAAAATAAAAGCACAAATTCTTTATAATTCCAAAATACCATAGAGTTCCCAGACCTCAGTCGAAGAATTCGTTTATCTAGGTATAAACCCTTTGCGCGAAGAGTAACACTTGCCAGAGGCACGGGGTACCACTTGATTTGCATCCACGAGCGTGACACAATTCTTTAACAATTGAAGCCCTTGGTGTAAAAAGGATCCAAGCCACAATTTGTCGTGAAGTGACTGTTTTAGCTCAAAACATTTGTTAACGAGGATTTTACTAGCCACATACAAATTATTTTACCTCTGATCCGAAAGATGTGCTATTTTTCGTAATATTTATATTTAAATAATGTTTCTAATTATATTTGACAGATTTAAAACAAATTAAAAATTTAATTTCCCAAAACTTACTTAATATGGCATGTAACCAACCTTATTACGCCAAGGTTTTCAATTTTTTCAATAATAAAAAAATTGTTTAATCCGGGCCCGACTTTTCCCTCGAATCTAACAGAGATAGCACCATTCCGTCTTGCTTGGTTCTCGACCGCCAGATCAAAGACGCCGACACGGAGTTGTGGAGCTGTATATTGTATAAGCTGTGGTGTTAGTCCGGAACAGACATCGTTCAAACTCGTGCTCTTATCTTCAAATACCTCTCTACAGCCTCGGTGTATACAGTGTGGAACAGCCAAATGGAATAAATTTGGTAATGAATAAATAGGGGCGTATTCGGAAAAACGCTCGGACACGTCGATTAGTATTTTTATTTGCACATTTTTTTTAGAGGGCGTGTCATGTAACAGTGGCCAATACGAACTTTCTTATTTTAAATGCAACACCCTGTATATTTTTGGATTCTTTAGAGAATTCTAGACATATCTTATTTACTATGTCCTATACCTAACTGTTTCGGAAATATTAAATGTTTTCCGATTTATTGTAAAAATTAACATTAATTAAATAAAATTATTTGATTACAATAATTCGTTACAACACACTCAAAAACTAACAAGAAATACTGTTAATTTCTTGATAATGTAACAAAAAAAACACATCTCGATGTAGATGTTCAAAATGCTTACCGCAAACCTCTTGGCAACATCCTAATCTGAAATAAAAATGTCTTCTAACGTTACTCAACATATCAGACGTGACCGATCTAATCTAAAGCGTTATTTGTCTTCTTAAGTTAACTAGGTCGAGAGTTTTTGTTTTGTATAGAATACTATTATCCACATAAGAAAAAGTCTAATGATGTCAGATCAGGGGATCGTGCTGGCCATTCAATCGATCCTCGCCTCCTTATCCACCAATTCAGAAATACTCGATTAAGGTATTGCCGGACATTGATTTGGTAATGGGGCGGTACTCCATCTAGCTGAAACCATATCGTATTCGCTGGAACTTGCGGGTTTGCTGGATCGAGATATAAGTTCGTTAAAGTTGGCACGACATTCTTTTGGATCAGTGCTAAATAATTGTCGCTACTCAAATTGCCATCAATGAAAAAGCGATCTATTATACGATCACCAACAATTCCTGTCCAAACATTAACCTTTTCAGAGTATTGCATATATTCTTTTCTCATCCAGTGAGGATTTTTCCTAGACCAATGGTGGCAATTTTGACCATTAGCATGTTCGTAAATTTAGCAGAGCTGGGGAGGATTCGAATCCTTTTTGAGAATCCGAGAGCGGGATTCGAATACTTTAGAAAAAAAGGACCCGTGATCCGGATTCGCAGAGAAAATCCTAAAGGATTCGTATTCGAATCATCAATATCAGTCTCGGATCCTTTTAGAGACCAAACTACCCTGGCGCGAACGGCTGACTCAAGCTTTGACTTGTCACGAATTGTAAACTAAAAACTAAAACAGACTGAGACTGAATAGAAAACCGATGTGTTTGGCGTTGTGCACGATTACAGAATTAACAAATAATCTGATATAGATCCTCAATACAGGTAAGTGAAAAAAAATGTGACAGCCAGCTTCGTTTTTCAGCTTCAAGTATAAAATGTTTTTATTTATTTACGGGTCAAAACTCATTTTACAGAATTGTATAACAAAGTTTGTCCTTGTTTAGTTAATATCCATTGTTGCAATTTAGATCTATAAAGACCTATCGAATTTATGTTTTTAAATTCCACCGGAAGTGCGTTAAATATTTTAGGACAGAGATTCGAAAGCAAATATAATTAATACCACAGTATAACACTGACAGTGATTCGTATCCGTGATCCGAAAAAATGGATTCGAATCACTTGATTCGAATAGTTTTTTTTTTGAAAAAGAATTCGAACATTGGATCCGTGATTCGGATTCGTGATTCGAATCCATTTTTCGAGGATTCGTCTCAGCTCTGAAATTTAGTTATTGCATTGGCAGCTATTTTTTTATCTGACTTACATTTTCAAGCTCGTAAAACTGTTTCTCTATTTTACTAATTGTCCCTTGGGATATACGCGGGAAATTTGGAAATTTTTCATGAAATATGCGACAAACTTCGATTTGTTATCTCTATAACCAATCATCTGTAGAATTGTTATTTTGTGCATTTCTGTTAAATGGACCATTTTTCTGATTAAAGGAAATTCGACTATTACACTGACAACTACTGTCATGCAGTCAGATAACAATTTGTTAAGGTCAGGCGTTTTAAACAAAAGTAAACAAAACTATTTATGTATAGCTTTTTATTATTTCATATCAGAAATGATTTTTGCTTACTTTCTCATTATCAAGACCTAAATGGGAAAAAAGTATTGAGTGTGTTGTAGGGAATTTCTGTAATCAATCAATTTTATTTGGTTAATGTTAATTTTTGCAATAAATCGGAAAACGTTTAATATTTCCGAAACAGTTAGGTATAAGACATAGTACATTACATACGTCTAGAATTTTCTGAAGACTCATAAAATTGAAAACTATATAGGGTGTTGCATTTAAAATAAGAAAGTTGGTATTGGCGACTTTACATTACACACCCTGTATAAAAAGTTTTTGTTAAAAAAATGCGCAACTAAAAATACCAATTATTGACTTGTCCGAGCATTTTTCTGAACACGCCCCCATTTATTTATTACCGAATTTATTCCATTTTGCTGTTCCACACCGTATGAGAAATGCATTTATGCATCCCACATCTTCGTGTATATGCGTTAAGTTTTCAATGTACCTACGGAGTACGAAAATTGTGAATTTAATATATCGTAGATCGCAAATCGAATTCTAAAAAGTCAGAAATATCTTAATTAGGTTTTAGAATAATTTGAAAATTCGGAAACAGATGTTATGTATGGGGTATTGATACACTGCGACCTAAAAGTTCTATTATATCCCCTTATGTCTCTAATGTAGCAAGAGGATAGTCTCGATGCCTCTAACGACCCTTCCAGTCCTATCTTCTAAAGGAAATGTAGGATTTCCAGTAGCTCCAAGTTAGGTAGATGGCCCTCTCTTATTTGGTATGCTCATAAGTACAGTGGCTTTAAATTCTACACATTCAGTCAGAAAATGAATGGAGGTGTAGTCCTCTTCTTCACAGAATCTGCACTATCTTTTACTAGCCCTAGTTTAAGTCGGCAATGCCAGGTAGGGATCCCTTTTACAATTCCTAGCCTGTTTTTGCTCAGACAAATACGGGCGGCTGTCGATCTTTTTTGGTTATAGTCAGTCAAAAGCCTGTCTTAGCACCAAGAGATCGTTCCTATTATCGGTTCGTTTACTGCCCAATTATTTTTTAATCTCTCCTAATATTGTGTTACTGCTGATACCGTAAAATGGTTTAGGACTCACAAAGGAACTTTGAATCTCTTTCCTTGTGCGACTATCTGCAATCTCGTCACCGTTTACAGCGATATGTCCCGCGAATATACGATATAATAAAAAAATACTAATATTGGCTACCATCGGTCGTATTATCCGAATTATCTTATCATTTATGATTAATACAGATTTTGTTAATGATAAACTAATATCGGCTATTTTCATATCATTTATTATCGTTAAGAATTATTGATGAGTTAGTTCATTGACAAAGAAACATTTACTGTGTTATATTAAATCTATTAGAATTTTGTAATGTCAAAAATTAATACATGATTTTAAGTAAGTATTTTATACAATTTTATACACTTTTTGTTTTTTTTTTTTTTTAACAAATGATAAATTTAATGGATGTGATGCTAAATTGGAAATAATATTAGGATTAGGTAACTACGTACCTGTCTTTGACCATTGCTAACGAGATGATCTTAATGATTTTATAAGTATTGAAACGAAATGAAAGAAAACACCTTTTCATTCTAGTGCGACAAAGTACATCTTTCTATGATGACATGCGTGTTGAAAGGTGGCATTTTCCGCACGTTCGTAGATTATAGTTATATTGATGATTTACATCATGATCCATGCTGTAAATATCATATTCGTGCGAAATGAGCATTCTTTGAAAATTGAACACTATACCTTTTCTATGACTATTACACGCTGGTATCCATTTTTAATTAGTTTTTGTAATTTATAACATTGAAATGACAGCTTTCTTCTAGATAATTATTTAATGTCTAACATTTCATGGTACGCATAAATTTATTAAACTAATTATGGATTAACTTTTTTGTGTTGTCAGATAAGGATATAATATGGAAATGTTTACTTTGTGTCATCAGAATTATCAAATAAGTTATTATACGTCATTTATTACTCAGCAATAGTTGAGAAAGTACAATTTTGTATTCTAGCCACAGAAAAAATAATTTTCAAGCTCATAAAAATAATAATTTAAATGTAGTTTATACATAAAAAATTAATACCATTCAATAATTATATTAGATTTATTTTTTACGATAATGATATTGATAAAGTGCTTTTTCAAGTAATAAATATATGGACCATTATTTTGTATCAAAATAAATAAAGTATGTATCTTTATTAACAACAAAGGAGTTTAGATAAGCTTATAAGTAGATAATCACTATTTTTAAATCAAATTTGTCATTATAATTTTATCAAAAAATCTTTCTAGAAAGCCTTAACTGATAATAATATTTAAAAATAATTTTACTTCTAACTTTTTTTGTTGTGTTTGTGATGTTATTTAATTTACATTGGTTCTTGCTATGATTGTATCAAATCTAAATATTGATGTAACTCAGGTTTAGAGGCAATAAATATTATTATTAGAAACAAAAAAATATATTATATATCTTAATCTAAATATATCCCTATGTTTAGCTCTTGCATTTTTCTTTTTATGTTAAGTCTGGCAACGATGTTGCAAAACAGAGCAAAGCTTTACGAATTGTTTTAACTACTAGCACGTCACATACTTTTATTTTCTTTTACTATACCAAAGAATCCTACCCAAGAAGCGAAACTAAATGAGTTTTCGTATGTACCAAAGCAAGGGAACTTAATACACTGGGAAACGTATGAAAATTAATCAATTTTTGTCATTTGGTTCATTAGAATTAAACACATACTAAAGTAACAATGACAAATAGAACATTCTTACTATGTTCATTGTGTCAAGTAGATTATTTTAATAACGAAATAATTCAGTAGGTACAATAAACAATACCGAAAGCAGATGACTTCACAAAGCAAAGGATAAAAATGAAATTAAAACACAACTTTGTAACAGAGATGAAGTACCTAGGTAGCACCTTTATCAACAAGTTAACTCACACTTTAAAAGAGCATACATTACTTATAAACAATTATACCGAACCGTGGGGCGCACCTGGGGTTTCTCTCCCAGAGTCCTCACATGGACTTACATGGCCATGACCTATGCTTATATACGGTGCAGGTGGCTGGGTACCGAAAATCCAAAAATTAACAGCTATCCGCAAAATAGAACAAATTCAAATAACAGCATGTTTCAACATAACAGAAGCCATGAAAACAACACCGACTAGAGCCATGATAGTCATTCTCAGTCTCACTCCCCTTGATATTTACATCAAGGAGGTTGCTCTGACAACAATGACACGTCTCCGCACGGTTGGAATAGAACCTGATGTAGGATCTGGTGAGGCGAGACGTGGCTTTTGGCAGGAGGCGCTCGATACGCTCCCACTGCTTCAAGCGAACATGAACTTTATCTCACCGAGATATATCTTCCATAAGCCATATGAAGTTATAACAGAACAAATAGAAGATCCGGAAGTGGCAGATACGATTCATATCTACACCGACGGTTCTAAAACAAAACAATGCTCAGGGTGTAGGATATACTCCAATTCCTTAAACCTTAACATAAAATGGGCTGTGAGCAATAGTGCCAATGTAGTTCACGGAGCTCACGGAGGTTCTCATAGCAGCAAAAGAAATAAGCAGAAACAATATCACTGGTAGGAACATGCTCATCTATACAGAGAGCAGATAAACACTACTTACCCTGAACAGGCTACGAATTTACTCAGGATTAGTACTAGAATGCCACAAAGCTCTGGCAAGAGTATCCATCCAACAATTTGGTCACCTTAAGATGGATGGATCAAAGGTGACGCCACATCGAAAGGTAGCCTTATTGCTAATTCATTATCCAAGAAGGCGGCCAACCAAATACTTTTTGGACCTGGCCCTTCTATTAAACTGACAACATCGGTAGTGACAGACCTAATTAAAAAATATTTCCTTGTGAAATTAAAAGAAAGATGGGATGAAACAAGAAACTGCTAAGTTACCAGGGAGCTTGTAACACTACAACAAACAAATACTTGACTACGACTAGACAGAATCTGTGTCTGATTACAGGCATTCTGACTGGTCATTGCCAAGTACGAAAGCATCGCGATATTATGGGGCTGTCAGAATCCGCACCCATAAGGGGGCGCGAACAAAAAGATAAGACCATTGAACATATCCTCTCCCATTGCCAGTCGCTCTCATTTATTAGAAGATTTGTTTTCGGCGTGTATTGGCTATCGCATCGACCGAAAAAGAGAAGAACCTCTTGGCGACGTTATCAACTACATTAAATATGTATGCTGGCTCACGAGCTAGGAGGTGCCTATCATTTTAGTTGGATACACAATGGGCCTAGTGAGGCTTAAGTGCCATAGGGTAACCCAACCTCTACACGTTACATACCCAGAAGTACTGTAGGTATCTGTAAATGCATTTTGATTGTATCCTGATAGCAGCGACTTGGTTCCTCGAAGTGAGGTTTTCATATATTTTAAATATTGTTTATTTACTGTTTTGATTCAAATAGTTTGAAAAACAAAATAATAACATATTTAAATAAAAGGCTAAGAAATTAAACGATAAATAATACGTAAGCGTAAATTATCATTATAGGTAATACTTATTTAGAAATAAAAAAAAAACATTGACAGCCAGATGCATGAACGTTCAATAAAATTTACGAGTAACGCAATGTATTTTTTTTTCATGTAATACAAATTTTACTTAGTTAAATACAACTACTTAACTATACTGCAATTTTCACAAAACGCTAATAATAATATACCAAACGTTGCTCTTCATAAATGACAGCTATATTTGACGTTAAACCACCTCTAAAACACTGAGAAAACTTGGAAGTTTTTTGTCCACAAATCGCCCATTTAGTTTCGCTTCTTGGGTAGGTATTCTTTGACTATACGGAGAATGGTCGCACTGCGCAGCTTTCTGAGTGCCTTTTAAAAGGAGATAGAAAACTCTGCCATTTTGATCCCTTATTACATGTTGCCTACATCTTGGCACAATATTTTTAATAGGTCGGCATTCTCCGTATAGTAAGAGAAAATCAAAGTATGTTGCAGGAACATACCGTTAGTCTGTGTATCGTGGGTATGGTCAGTTATTAACCAAAATATCGGTTACTCGGTCCAAAACTAAACGCTCTACTTGACATTCCAGAAAAATCGGTTAAATTCAATGACATATATAGGTCATTGGATAAATTTAGGGACGCAATTACCTGAAAATGGTGTCTGAAACGTCAATTCACTAACCGTTATATTTTTACGGTTATCATTAAGCCGAATGTCCATCTGTCACAAAATTGACGCAACTCTCTTCATATGGTGCGTTTGATTTGATCATCGGAGATCTACGAGCGCTGCAAACGTGTTTGAATTGACACTCTGAGGGATCCCAAAAGTATTTGTTTCGCTTTGGGGCGACGTTCTTAGAGTATAACACTGCGCACTGCTTCCGGAATTGTCGGTTTAGTCGTTTTAACTTGTCAGATTAAAACAAGAAAACCGACAATTCCGAAGCAGAAGCGGATGATTAAAACGCACCTATTAAAAATATTGCGCCAAGATGTAGGCAACACGTAATAAGGGTTCAAAATGGCGGAGTTTTTTATCTCCTTTTAAAAGGCACTCAGAAAGCTGCGCAGTGCGACCATTCTCCGTATAGTAAAAGAAAATCAAAGTATGTGCTATACTCTCACTCATGGTCCAAAAGTAACCAACAAATTAGGCATTCCAACGACCTGTCAAACAGTAACTGTCATTGAGAAGGTCTAGTATATCTAAGGGGGTAGCGACATAGTCTTGCATAATTTTTTATTCAAAATAGTAGTCACCAAGCCTGCCAATTTATAAAAAAATGTATAAGCAGTTTTTAAAATTATATATTTATTGTGTTTGACATAAAATATTTAAATGTAATCCATTATTCAAGATTTTACGTATTGTATACAGAATACATCGTATGTCGCAACCCTTGGATATATCAAATCATCCCACTGGCAGTTCATTTGTTTGGAATGCCTAATTGGTTGCACTCTAGTATAAGTAATAATACAGTTACGACAGTTCATTGTCTGCGCATGTCCGTAAATAAGCGGCAAATACGTCAGACTGGCATATGTGAATTGTCAACGGATTAATGGTAGTTGATTGTTTTAATTATCTGATTGGTTGTAATGCACATTTTAAAACATTTTTATTATATTTAGACTTAGTTTTCATCTTTCATTTATTGTGTGATATTTTATTCAAACAGACAAAGGGACAAGATATTTTAAAGTTACTTATTTCAGTGTAGAAATAAGCGGCAAAAACGTCAACTGTCAATAAAAATCTGACCACCTCGACATCAAAGGAGCCGACTCAAGCTGTCGCTACTGTATTCTGGGGTTG